GACAGGAGCAGTTCCGCTTCTTCACTGAGGCTCTGAGAGTGAATAAACTCAAGAGCTATGTAGATCAGATGGTCATGGAAGCTGAGGTAAAACGTGCTTCTTATAAAACTACTGAAATTGGTTTCATTGTTTTGCTTGCTTTGTTTATGCAATTGTGTGGGTGTAAACCATCAGAGCCCAATATTTAGGAAGCCGATTGGTGAGGTTTGGCAGTTGCGTAAATTGCAGATTGTTTCAATTCAATCGTAGTCGATGCACTTAAATTAGTAACTACAAAGCTCTGACATATATATTTTCAGGCGTGTCACATGCCTGACACGGACACCGCCACAACACTCGTCTGAGATGTGACACAGTCAGATTCATTTCGGCTTGGACCGAACTCGGACATGGCTGGCCCCTAAAAAAAAAAAAAAAATTAAAGGCCGGTGAATCCTCCGTGATGTTATAATTATAGTGCTTTTCTGGTTGTTTGAATTAAAGATGAATAGATTGACTGTGATAGATGAACAACTTGTTATTTAAGTTTGAAATAACAGTGTAGGGTACTTGACATATGGGATGATGCTGATTGTGTCTTTATCCAGAAGTATATCACTATTCAAAATTTCTAAATCTATATATTATATGTTCTGTTATATCATCCTTTGCATCTTTTGAAGTTTGATGCGCCAGCACGTCCATGTCATTTCACGAGTCTTTGCCTTGCGATTTGGTACCCTTGTGTTAACCACAAGCAACGCTGTGACAGTGAGCTGGTTATATTGCATATTGTTGCATGTTTCCTACGTTCCCGCTGTTCTGATTTGAGAAGCTGTTGACGATCGACTTGACATGCTTTTTCAGAATATAAAACCTGACATTCGTATGCTTCTTTATGTTGTTAATTTTTCCTATTGGCTTAAGTTGAAATTTGAGTTTACCTTCTCGGTCAAAGTTATGATTATCACTTTGGAAAATGTTTCCTTATAATCCGTTTGATGACTGAACGTCTGCAACATGTCATTTTAGGATACAGATATTTTCACCCCAAAATTCAGAGCCACGTGGTTTGAGTTCATAGAATTGGATTGTTGTAACTGATTATCAAGACCTGAGATCATAAAGCCGCTAAGCTTGATAGACCTCAAACCTCATATCAGTGCATAGCACATAAGATGACCTGCTTATGGGGCAGATTTACTGGATCCTTTTCGTTTTTTCTTGGCTCCCATAGTATACTTAAGTCTTTGAGAAGCTCACAAGGTGAGGGTTCATACAATTAATGCAGTAGATGATCATCACCTGAGATCATGAAGATGCTAGGTTTTATGAAATAATTGGATAGTCTGTTGAAAGTTTGAAGTTCGAACCTCATATTATATTCAGTTCATATTGAATAAGGTGATCTGTTTATGGCACAGATTACTGCATCTTTCTTTTGTTCCCAAATTGTTGTTATGTTTAAGTCTTCAAACAGCTGTTGACTTTCTTTGGGATTTGATATTTTTATGTTTCAACTTCCAACTTTCGACCTATGTTTGATATGGCAGAAAACTGTGGACTTTATTGTTATCATTTATGTTCTGTGGGAAATTTGAATAGAAGTGACTGTTTGAAGTATTGTTCATAGTTGTTTCCTTCCTCTGCCTCTTGTTATTTCTTCATCTGTGCACTAATTTGACATTCAGGACTGTCCTACCTAAAATGTGAACTTAATTTGCAGGACTACTTTTCTAAGTGGGGACCTAGTGGTGAGGTGGACTTGAAGTATGAGCTAGAACATCTGATCATCCTGACAGCTAGCAGATGTCTCCTGGGCCGGGAAGTTCGTGATAAGCTTTTTGATGACGTTTCTGCTTTGTTCCATGACCTAGATAATGGAATGCAACCTATCAGTGTCCTCTTTCCATACCTGCCCATCCCAGCTCATAAGCGTCGTGATCGAGCTCGCAAGAGGCTCGCTGAAATCTTTACCAGCATCATAGCATCCCGCAAATCCAAGGGTGTATCAGAGAATGACATGCTACAGTGCTTCATTGATTCAAAGTACAAAGATGGTCGCCCAACAACTGAAGCTGAAGTAACTGGATTGCTCATTGCTGCACTTTTTGCTGGACAGCACACCAGCTCAATTACATCCACTTGGACAGGGGCATATCTCCTGTGTCAGAAGCAGTATCTTTCTGCTGTATTGGAGGAGCAGAAGGAAATAATGGGCAAGTATGGTGACAGAGTTGATCATGATATCTTGGCTGAAATGGACGTCCTGTATCGGTGCATTAAAGAAGCCTTGAGGCTCCACCCTCCTCTGATCATGCTGATGCGAAGCTCACACAGCGATTTTAGTGTCAAAACACGAGAAGGGAAAGAGTATGATATTCCAAAGGGTCACATAGTTGCTACCTCCCCTGCTTTTGCAAATCGCTTACCCCATGTTTTTAAGGATCCTGATAGGTATGATCCTGATAGATTTGCCCCAGGAAGGGAAGAGGACAAGGTGGCCGGGGCCTTCTCTTACATCTCATTTGGAGGCGGCAGGCATGGATGCCTCGGAGAGCCCTTTGCGTATTTGCAGATTAAGGCAATTTGGAGTCATTTGCTGAGGAATTTTGAGCTGGAATTAGTGTCACCTTTTCCTGAGATTGACTGGAATGCCATGGTTGTTGGTGTGAAAGGAAAAGTGATGGTCCGATACAAACGCAGGGAGCTTCAAGTTCATCAATAAGAGCTCATTTTCAACTTTTGTCTTAATAAGTTCGTTGGTAAAATCAGACAAAAGCTCAAAAATGCTACTTCTCTGCATTGCTAAACTTTGATGCAGCCAAGTACAAAATGTTAGTGATCGTGCTGCTCCGGGTGAACTCCAACTTCATTGTTTGTTTGACCATGAATTTCAAGAATCTTGATTTTGTCTTTTTAACCTTTTAGTGCGTTAGACTGTGGAAGTATCCACCACACTTGGCTCATGTGGCTGCTCAGGGTAGTGTTTTGTGTAGTGCCCTTAAGCTCTAATGGTTTGGTAAGAATTTGTTTGATGTCAGCTTATAATTGTTCTTTTTTTTTTTGGCTAGTTGTGAAGGTGAACCCTGCAATCGCTTTTGATGCTTCTGAAGTATCTGAGCAAGAAAATGAAAAAACATCGGTTACCTCACGTTGTGGTTTTAAGGGGTAAAAAACCAAGTTGCATGTAGGTTTTCAGAAATAAACCGAGATATTAATTCGTGATCTATTTGTTCTATTGTAATTTAACTGTAATGGTGGTCATAAGATTCGCGCGCGCGCGCGTCAAGTAGTGGAATTTCATATAATGCAAGAAGTACGGAGTTAAAAAAAGTGAAATTATTTTACCATTCTAATAAAATTTTTAGGAAGTACGTGTTAACGCCCGCGCACTGTATGCGGTTCCAAATAGAAAATTTCGTTGTCTATGGTTGATGCGTTAACTTTTTGCTCAACAAAAAGTGGTCGATGTATTAAGTTGGAAGGCATTTTATGATATGAGATTTTTTTTTTTATATTAAAAATGTGAGTTATATAACTTGTTCAATTCGTTTCTTTTGCGGGCTTTGTATTGAAGTGGCACTTTTTGGTCTGGTGTTATGAAAGTATTTTCCAGTTCGCATTGAATAAAAAAAAAATCCCAATTCACTAACAAAAATAGGTTGAGTTGAGTTAGTTTGATCATACTCAAGGATTTCCAAGTGAAGCTTGAACCCAATTTAATCTATCAACTTGAGGGATTTAATGTGTCAGTCATCCAAGCACAAGTTACTTGGATGGCACAACCATCTATACGAATTGACCAAATAATGAATTTGTTCCCGAGAAATAATTGTGGTTTAACATTACATATCTATTACAAATGTAGACATTGCATATGATCCACACTTTAAATTTGGGCATTGGTGCCCAAAAAAAACCACGATGGATAAATCATGAGGGGAAACAAATGACAACTTTTTTCAATGCAAAGAAATAAGTCTAATCACATAAAATGCGTCTCTAGAGGATGATCAATTGGTGGAATAATCGCGGAAGGTAGAAGGCTAATGAAAACTGAGCCTAGCCGTCACACACACACACACACACGAATATGATAATATGGCATATTATGTAATGGCTCTCTGTGGATTAGCAAGGGAGATTTCATTTTGAGGAGAATCTAACCCTCATCACATTCTAAAGTTACTCATTCTCTTTAAGATGTCTTTATCGGATAAAATAATTTCTCTGTAGATTATTTGGTCACTGATATGAACTAATTTTTTTCAATTAAAAAAAAGTTTTTAGGTGCCTTGTACGTTATACTTTGTACTTCTGAAAGACTTCTATCCATGTTTACTTAATACTACTATTTAACATCGATTAGTTTTTATGATGTGTTTGGTTTGGGGGGAATTATGTAAGGGAGGCGGAGTATAAAGAAGATTTTAATAAGTTTATTTTTCAAACAGGAAAATGGAACAGTGAGGCTGAAAAGTTTTTAATTAATTTTTCTTGCTTTTTTATCTCTTGCATCTCTTCCTGAAAATTGTGTTAACTCCAATACCCTTTTTTTCTTTTTTTCCAAAATTGAACCTATTAAATCCCCCCTCCCTTCCAATCCCCTCAAATCCCTGTCATCGGTATATCACAAGACAATCTATGCAATAGACATTTCACCGAAATAACAAAAAGAATCTAACGTAGTATTCGCTCTAATAAACCGTAAGAGTTTTTTTAAAAACACTGATAAACCATAAGAAATTTATTAATATAGATAAATGCCAGTGATGTTTGAATGCCGCAAATAATTTGTTGATTTTTTCGGGGGCAGGAAACAACTCCAACTCATTACTATATAAACCGAATCTCTACAGAAGCACAAAAGGTGCAGGGTTGGCAATAAAAAAACAAGAAGTCCAAGCCCAAAAATTCAAAATCTCAAAAAGCATATTGGCAAGAAGAGACCATTGAAACCTCAAATTCATTGTTGGACAAACATGATTCCTTCCTTCTTACTGATGCTTTCTTTCTTGCTATCGCTGATGATTGAACTTCCTAGTTCCTTCTTTGAAGCAAAACCTCACAGACCAACCCTGGACGCAATCCCTTGGACAAACAAAATCAATGATGGCCTGCAGATGTTAACTGCAAAATGAAATGTACAAGGAAATATGCCATAGTTTCATTGCTTTACCATGCTTTCCCCCACTTTCTTTTGGTTCTATTTCTATGTTTTGCTACAATTTGTGCAGCTGAAGAACGAATCTTCAGCCTTTCAACCACAAATTTCATCTCCCCTTTCCCTATTTTACAACTCAGTAAAACAATTCCAAAGAGAGAGCCTAAAATCCATTCCTTGAATGCTTTCCTTCGCCACAGCTGAATAATAGAAAGTCCGACGAGGCTAAAACATGAGACCATCAGAAACATGTCTAGCTCCATAATTTTCCAACACATCAGACTACCACAGACTAATAATAAAATAAACCACGATTGTTTTCCACTCGATTGTTTCTTCCTTCTCCATCCATTCAAAACTCCCCCTCTAAGAACTCTTTGGAGTTCGGATAAAATCCCTTTTCCATCTCTTTGGGCAAATTCTCCGATAAGAGAATTTAAGGGTTGAGGTAAGATATTGAGATTCAATGCAACCATGGACGCTAGCTCAAGCATCAATTTTTTTGATGAATGAGAGCCCCCTCGCCTTCCAGTCTTTCTAGCGCATATAACTGGTTGTTGTACCCGAATCAAAGAGAGAAAACAGGGATGGTTTGCTACAGAGATGGAATCGCAAAGACGATAATTTGTTATGCTACTTGTGCGTGATACAATTGGGTGATTGCAGTCGCTTTTGAAGACGCTCACTGAAGATAATCCCAACGCCATTAATCGGATTTCAGAAACACACAAAACAAAACAGCAACACTGCAATAAGAAGACAAGAATATTAGGGGCAATTACAGCAGAATCGCAAAAGGTAGGAACCTACTAGTTCCATGTAATTCCACCTAACTAATAAACAACAACTTGTTAACAAAACAATTCAATGCAAGACATCTTCGCAAATGTACGGAGAACATTTCAACCATACAGCTTTTGACATTTGATACCTTATGAACAAGGTCTCCTGGATAACCTATAGCCGCTAGGAAACGTGGCATATAAACCATGTGTGCAAATTTTTGGGGTCCAAGGGCATGTCTAATGAGAACATGGTAAAACTTCTGGCCTACATAAGTTAAGACCGAATAATCTCAAATCGATGTAGTATAGGCCTCCCTGGATGAACTAAAATGAAGGCAATTTATGGTGTTCATATTTTCTTTCTTACAATCAAGAAAGTTCAAACAATGCCTGCACATAAAAAGATAAAGGGATTTGGATCCCTCAATTGAAATAAGTTAGCGATTAGATGCTAATCTAACGGCGTTGAGAATGAGTTGTAAATTGATTTTAAAAAATGCTTTTCATCGTAACTCCTCTCGCGACACTTAAATCTAACGGTTAATAAGCCGGTTGAATTCCGAGATGAAGTGCTCAGAAACCCGATATACAGAAACGAAATTTAAACCCAAAATTAGAAGCAATTCAAATCCTCTATGTTCACTAGACTGACAAGAATAAAGAGTGAAATTTGTATTACATTGAGAGGAAAATTATATAAAAAAACGAACGTACTCAATCACATTGTCAATTTAAATGCAGGCAAGGCATTATAAGCGCAGAGAATTCGTATTGAATGTGGAAAAAAAAAAACAAATTCCTAGATAAGTTTAGTGACTCACATTGAATTTTCCACAATGGAAGATGAGAAAAACCAGAACACCAGGGGTTTTGAAGTTTACGATGCGGATGGGGAGGACCAGAAAGAGTATGGGAGAGGGAGGGAGGCGGGGGCAACGATGGTTGCTCCGTCGTTGGCGGCGGAGGAAGAAGAATACTCAGGTTTGATGCCCATGCAACGGGCACCGAACTACTGAAAGTCGATAAAATGGCAGCGAACCAGAAACTAGGCTTTGGCAGTAGCAGAAGCAGAAGGGGGAAACTGAAGAGACGAAATTTGGGTCATTCAAATTTTGAAGTCGTTTTAACGGAAGGGGAAGAAGATTGAATTTGGGTCTTTCAAATTTTAATGTCGTTTTTTAAAAGGGAAAAAAGAAAATATCTCAACCGCTCATTTGGTAATCCAATGGTAGAGAAGAGATTGGAGAAAAATAAGAGAGAAAAAAGATGAGGAGAGGATCCGCATGTCAGTATCATGTAACATAGATCAACTTCCAGGGAGAGATTCTCCCACCCGGCAAGCTACTTCTTTTTTTTTCCCTTTTTTTTTTTTCTTTTTTCTTTTCCTTTCTTTTCTTTTTCTTTCCCCCCAACCAGGAGACCTCTCATTCGTGGGTGGTCCAGAATAATTGAATAAATTTGTAATTGGCATAGTTTCATATTTTAATATAAGAGCTGGCTAAATAATTTAAGTAGATTAAGAAAATAATTTATGTTAATTTTTTGCAATAAATAAGTGTTGTATTTTTTTAAAATATTCTTGTTAATCAAGTTTATTGGTTAGGAAGACTATCTTGAAAAAAATAGATAAATATAAAAAATAAAGTAATTGAGGTCTTATATTTAGGATCAAAATAAAAATCAAATAAGATCCTATATTAAGGACTCGAAGGTAGTAATTCACATCATTTAGATGTTTTTAAAACAAAGAGAAAATTATAACAGAGGTTCTAAGAAAAAAATTATTGCAAAATAAGTCTCAAAAGTTATCATTTTCTATTCTAGAACTTATCATTACAGGCTTAGGTTGTTATTGAGACTTTTTAGCTATTATTTTTTTTATTTGAGACTTTATTGTAATTCTATCTAAAATAAACCATATACCCTGTTTTTGAGTGGTAGCAGTCTTATTCCTGTAAAAAGGGAAAAAAAAAACACAATTTAATTTTAAAACGTACACTTGTTGGGGAAGAAAAGTCCTTTAGATCCCGTTCGATATGAAGTATTAAAAATTATGGATTGAGATTAGGATTGAGGTTGTAATTAAAAAAAATCATTAAAATAATATTTAGTTTGAGTAATTACTTATTATATGGGATTAGGAAAATCTATAGAAATGGAATTGGAGAATACCACTTTCTCTCATGGTACTTCCCAATCCTACATACATGGGTTTGACTAATCCTTTACAACAAGCAATATCTTATACTAAATATTCTTTTAATAGATTTTATCAATCCCAATTACAATCCTTACTTCTAATTTTTAATGCTTGCTACCAAACGATACCTTGATACCCTCGACCCTCGACTAGTTTACCACTTGCGCGGATAAAAAAACTGAGCCAAAGAAGCCCAAGGTCAAGATATTGTGTTGGATACCTGTTATTTAACCCCCCCCCCCAAAAAAAAAATTAAAACAGACCATATCCTTATAAAGGGCGATTTATAAAATTGGTTATATGGAGTCTCTTTTGAATAGCTTATGGCTAAACCAATGTTTTAGCTCAAAAATAAATTTTATCAAAATCAAAGAGTTTTGCCACATATGATTGATTGAAAATTCAATCCAAACAGCTGGTGTTTGGTAACTTATTAGATAACTATAGTTTTGAGTTCATAGTTGATTTTGAAATAGGTGTTTGATTTTGTGTTCATAATTAATTTTAGCATGTATAGGAGTGTTTGGATGTTAAAAAAAACATAATTGTGGCTTTTACAAAATTTAGAGTTAATATCATCTTTAATTCTTAAAATTTAGTTTCATTTTAATTTTAGTCTCTAAAATTTGAAATCAGTGAACTCAATCCCTTAAAGTTAATTTCATTCTTCTCTGGCTAAAGATTTTTGGTCCCTAGAATCGTTTGATCTGTTAAATTTTAGTGACCAAAACTATAAAAAAAATTTAAAAACTAAAGATAATATTAACTCCATAATTAATTATGAAAGATATCTCCCAGCCGATAGAAGTGAGAAGTAGGTCTCTCCACATTCCTTTTCCTCCACTTCCATACACTTTTCATTTTAATCATGACATTGAAATTTGAACATTAGCTTTTCATATTTTATAAAATAATTTTATCAAATTATTTTCCTCAACTTGTACCAATATTTATCATACTTTTAATTGTTCCTAACTATCCTTTTGTTATTAGGTGTCCAAGTTTTTTAATTATAATAATAAAATAAAATTTCTAACTTATCCGTGTGATGTGATAATGTTAAGACTTTGATTTGTCCAACGAAACCCCTCTGCAGATAATCACAAGAGTGAGCGAAACAACAGCTGCCTTCATGACATCTAGCTGAGATGAATAGTTGTTAACACTTATAACTCAACTGTGCAAGATATTTTTTTTAAATGAAAAGAATATAAGAGAATGTAAATATAGAGAACGATACCAATTAAAATATAACATGAACATACGTTTTTTTAATTTAGTTTTGGAGACAATATCGATTAGGATTCGTTTTTTCATGTCAACCACATTTTTTTTCTTCTGGAAAAAAATTCAGTATTTCAACTTAAATAATGCATTGTTTTCAACTTAAGGACAACTAGATTATTTTATTTCTTTATTTTTATTTTTCAACTTGCCCCTGTCTCTAACTTTTGCATTGCATTGGTGCATTGACGTAATTATAGAATGAACTCTATTATCTAAGTTAAATTTAATTGAAGGTAAAATGTATAAAAAAATAATATTAATTATAAGTTTTTTTTTTAGGCTAAAACATAGGTATCATTCTATAGGAAGCAATCCTATTTAAGACACTGTCAGGCACTAAATGTGATTGTTAACACTACAATTTATCTTGAGAATGACATTCTACTTGCTCATAAAAAGCAAAAAGATAATCCCAAAACAAACTAATCATCAAATAATAATCAATCAATCATGTAGCTCGAGGAGTCATATCATCAATAATTGATAAAATGTCATATATTAGTAGATAACATAATTACTACATTGCAAGAGTTATGTGGGACTAATAAACACTTGAAACTGAGCTAACAAATGTCCAAGCGATTAAGGACATAATTAATAAAATTTGCTCGCGGCTAAGGGCAAAAATTGAGAAAAACAATAATGAAACCCAATGCACCGAACAAGCATTCAGTGGTTGAGCTAAGGATGGTGAACTGCATGACACCTTAGAAATTCAAGGTTCCTTGTCAGGCAACTTTATTTGTTGAAGCCTTCATTCTGTAAAGGAGGAAGCCACCCAATTACCAGTGACATTCATGACTGAATCTTTTGTCATGAATCATCCAGATCTCTAAATAGACCCAAAGAAATATGCAATAGTCACTACGTGGAGGACCTACCAAAAAAGAGAGAACACCATAAACACACAAGACCATGCCCCACCATACACACACAAAAAGAACAAGTCCGGGACGCATTCAGGAAAGGAAATAAACCATTCATTCTCCCCGTGTGCGTGTGTGTGTGTGTTTTTAATTTTTCTTGAATTAGAGGGGCAAGCACTAACAGATAATGAACTCATGATCTTCTACTTACAGGGAGCATCCATGCCACTGGGCTATAAGGCCATTGGCTCCATGTGCATATGTTAATATGATATTATTTGACATGCTTATCCACTACATTCTGCTAACCTTAATAGTTGTTACCCAGGCACACCTATGCAATAATTTCCCTACTCGATAATATTAAATGCTAGGTTTACAATGCTCCTAATATGAAGAGAACAACAATAGCTTATTCATCCATTTACGCACATGCACATATGCTGCATTGCTCCAAAACCATGAATAAAATGGCTCCACCTTGAAGGCATACATATCAGCTTTTTATTTTCATTTTCTTTTTCTCTTGTTTGCTGGCCGTTTTTCCCAGATCACTACATGGTTCGTACTCCATTCCCCCTTTGTAATAAGTTCTATTTTACATATTGACAATGTGAATTTTATTTACATGCATTGGAACTTCAATTTTCAAAGACAAACTACAGTCACAACTTTTTTGGGCCGCACTCTTCAGACCACCTAGAAGAGTCGTAAAGAAGATTTTGGAAATAAGACATTCAAGTGTATTTTGCATTCTATCCTGAGGGAGATTGTTGACATATCAATTTCTTCTTTCTTTCCTCAATAGTTGTTGAATATGCACAGCTAATCACTTCAAAAAGTAGTTAGCCAAACACTGACAAAATTTCTATATCAAGTATCAACATGAAGATAGAATGTTTACTTATCCTGCGCTCGTGGAGGTAGTCCAAGTCTTGTTCTTATATTCGCACCTACTTGCATGACATCTTCCACCTAAAAACGAGAGAAGTACATCAATCAGATGCCTGAGGGAATGAAACATCTAAGAATGGTTCAAAACAAAAGATTTCTTTGATTAAAAACAGTTATGTGATGACATGGCCAGTGGGGGCACAAAGTTAATTCCAAGTGCCATCTTCCAATATTTTCTAGCTACAGATAAGACCACCATAAAAGTCAGAGACACTGGAGCCAGGATCAGTCTGTAGCATTGGATACCAAATAGTTGTACCAAAAAAATAAGTTAGAAAAGGCAAATGGATGCCCCAAAATTTGATTTTCCTTTTTACTTCTTGCCCAACAATATTTTATACCAGCTTTGAATCATTCATGCCAAAAGGCCAAATGAGACAACAGAGCATTGGACAACTTTTCCTAACTGGGGAAAAATGAATAACTGAAGACACTTCATGTTCCCAAACAGAAGAATAAAATGAATTACAGATGACCAGACCCTAAATCTGGATTAAGTAGGATGAAGGTCAATCAACTAGAAGCTCAACCTAGCTTCTATCATAAGAAAGCAATTGATTTGTACCTAAAATATTTTTCAGTATTTGGCCCGTCTGTTAACTTCATCTTTGATATGAGGGACGGTAAAATTAGACCTGAAAATCATGAGTTTAATGCCAAGCTCACAACTGAAGCCAAAGTCATATTTTTCCTAATGCACATATTTTTAGATGCTTAATATAAAATCAACCCAGCCCTCATTTGACGTCACACAATTAAGTCATCTAGTTGACGTATTTTTGTTTTACACACAGTTCTAGCTTTATTTTTTGTGTACATATCTGTATTATTTCTCAACATGTCACTATTGCTAGGTCTTAATTCAAAGGATAAGCCCCCCAAGAAGGAAGGGAGTTAGGTGAGTGTTGGTTACACTCTTACAGAAGGTATATGCAAGGGAAAAATATATTATGAAAGAAGTTTAAAAATCTAAACCAGAACCAACAAGATATGTAAAGCTACGTTTGACATCTAGATATCATTCAGGGTAAAGAACAGAAGGTAGATGAGATAGGGAAGGGATAGCTTTAAACACTACTTTTAATATAGTTCAATGAAAAAATTGGCCTACTTTCAATCCCATCAATTTCCATAACTTTTTCATTATAACAAGAAGTTATACAAGACCTCAAGGCTTGTTTCACCAACCCACAAGCTACTGATCACAACAGATAGCCTTCACGTGCCTGCTTACCACACCAACTGACAAAGAAACCCTATTTTCTCTCACTAAAAAGCTTGGACTACTGTATTCTAGGAAATAAAAATGACCCAAACTTATTACCGATAAAAGATGACCCAAAGCAATGTAGGATCTCTCATAGTATTAAAAAAATCCCAATGCAGAGCTTATAATATGATTACAAACTATCACAAGGATTGCTCAAGAACAAAATGGAGAAGGAACAGAAATCATAAATGTTTCTTCAAAGAATGATCCAGTTTTGCTCAAGATATACAACTAATTGCGTTGGATGCTCCTCCACTTAATCACATATCTCGAGCAAAACTTTATCATTCTTTGAAAACCTTTAGGATTCTTATTCCTAGGTCATATACTTTATGCGGCAAAAAGTGCAGGAAATAGTTCGTTTTTATTGACTGAGAACAGGATAATTGTTTCAATTATTCACATCATTCTGGAATTCAGCAAACTCATCACCTTTAAAGCAATGAAGCGATTCACCGATTGTTCATGTCCTCCATGCTTGGGAATTAAGCATTTGTGTTCATCAATAGTAGCGAGTATTATAAGAAATGGCCGAAAAGAATGCCAAAATTTGACATCACTAATAAGGAACCAAATAGAAATTAAGAATGGACATAGAAGAGAGAACTGAGATTGACAAATTCCCCATAAGCGAAAATCTTAGTGAGTTAATACAAGTTACGATCTTTATTACATTTCGGACAACCTCTTAACAAACACAGGCTAACTTATCTACATCACGCAGACATGTCTACTATAGAGCATCTCATAACAAACGATCAACACAACTATCAATTATGTATCAAGATTCTTACTTGAAATCACCAGCCAAAAGTAAATTAAAAAAAAAATAAAACACACACACACACACACACACACACGATCTCAATATCGCCCAGATTACTGGAATTCCAGCCACTGCATCGGAACATGACCATGAAACATTCTATGAGATAGGGAAATAGATGATACCTTATGGATCCCGTGAGCTTGAAGGACACCGAACGAGGCGGAGGTGGCGGCGCCGACGAAGAGAGATGCAACGGCGAAGGCCTTGAATGGCATGAGGCGTGAATCTCCGGCATATCCTTTAGCGTAAGAACGTATGCCCCATCCGAACTGAGTCGCACTTGCAAGAGCCCACCACCAGTGATGCCGATCAGTACCGCCAACGACGGCTCCGTCCATCTGATCCAATCCCTCGTCGATCCCGCTTAGCGTCTCGACCCCGGGAACGAACGAACTCGATCACAGAACATGGGCCTCAAAGGCATTTCGGGCTTTGCACTCTGTTTTTGGGCCTTTCAGTTGGATTTAGTTTTGAATAAAATTTAGTCCTCACCAGTCACTACTTAAAAAATTATAGCCTAATGATATGTAAGCTGTCATTGTAAGTAAAAAAGTTATGGGTTTGATCTTACTTGTAATCTCAGATTGCTCCTTTAAATTCCAAAATATATATATATATAAGGGCTAATTAGTTAGCCCTTATATTGACTAGTGAGGAGTAAATTTAATATTATTATCTTCGATCCTTAATATAATAGTTAGTTTAACTTTTAATTTGTTCTAAATATAATAATCCAATCTATTTTATCTTTTATATTTATCTCTTTTTTTCAAAATAGTCTTTGTAGTAGTTACAAATGTTAAAAGTTTCATCACATGGTAGCTCTAATAAATACACATAATTAGCAAGAATATTTTTTTTAAAAAAAATATATTTATTACAGATAACTAATTTAGCTAATTTTTTTTACTCTAATTAAATTAGTCAATCAGTTCTTCTATTAAAGACTGGAAGTAATAGTTAGTTATGCACCGTCCCTGGGTTCAGCGGATGCTCAGGTAAACGTGTGAGTCTATTTAGCATTTTGCTTGCACGGATCTAATATGTGAGTCAAGGTGCTAACCACAATTCCTTGTGTCTATTCTAGCAAACGCGCTTTTACTCCTCAAACTCAGACTTGTATATACCAATAGGCATGAGTGGTTTTTGATTAATTTCCTCGTTTAGTGGTAGCAAGCTAGTGGCGAAGGTTAATTCAATTCTTAGTTATTCTTAGCTGTCAAAATTACGGGAATCAAACACGAAAATACAAGCTATGGTTCCCGTTTTGTCTTTTTAAGAAAGATAAGCGAAATGGTGTTTTGATTAATGCTTATATGGCAATACGCAATTTAAAATAGAAGCTAATGATGGCGGCATATAGAATCTTCACGTATATATGATAGAGTGGCATAATTTAGTGCAATGGTTTATTTTGTATCTTATTCTTGACCCTTTTTTTGTACTGGTTCGCTCAAGTTGAACTGGAAAAAAAATAGTTGATTTGCCAAAAAGAGAGTAGTTTATTTGCTCTTAATACAGTGGGATTTATGATTAATATTGGGTTTGTGGTAATGATTGCATCTACGATTTCTTTTCTCTGTGTGAAATTTCTCCCTCAATTAATTATATCTTTAATTGGCATTAAACCGTTGCTTTGGCCGGAGCTTTTCAATCCTGATTTATAGTGTATAAAAAAAATATATGAGAGGAGTTTTGTCTAATTATATACATGTATCCAAACAAGTATCACCATATATGAGTACGTTTGTGTGTGGTGCGGGAGAGAGTACAAGTACACACCAAATTGGTATTATGAACAATGGTACTACCGTTACTGTTTGGTTTCTTTGATAGGAAATGTTTAATCTTATGATAATTTCTTTTATTGATGTCTGGTCCTTGCTCCTATAAACCAAAATTGATGTTGATAGTATGGCCGGGTTAATTGTTGGATTTGTCCTCTTTTGACTGGTTGGCTGGATTGGTTTGAAATTATTATTATTTATTATTAGATTACCCTCATCATAATCCTTCTTATTTACTTGAGGAAATATCGTTTGTACCTTTCTCACTTTTGAACACATCAATTGATTATACCATTCAACTAGAACGCAATACTACAAATAATTGATGCCCCACTCCAATTCATGCTCATCCTTTTCACCACTCTCTCTACCTTTTCCACCTTCTCATGTGGCCACAAAGACTTGGCAAACTTTAGACTTTCTTGGTTGTTATGTCACAATCTTTGACACTATAAAATTTTTTTCAACAATTATCACATCTCTTCTTTTCATTGCTTTTTGACAAGTCTATCCTGTGCTCAATGCTAACAACCATTAATTTGCACATGAATATGGTGGATTATATTCAATTAATAACTACATGTGAGTCTAATTTTCTACATGAAATCTCATCAATAAAAGATATTATTCAAAAGTGATATGAATAATCTAGCTAATAAGTTGTGGGCTATAAGGTGATAAGTGACCTCACTCCATAAAAAAAGAATTTATCTATAATACAAGATCAAATTCTGAGAAGTCTATTTGTTGGGAAATATGAAAACTCTTTGTATTTTAAATCTCAAGTGAAATTAATCTTGATTAAAAATGATATGAATAATGTGATTAAAATTTGATGATCAGTTAATATATTTAAAGGCAAACCCACTTGCTAGAAAGAGTTGCTATTGCATATGTATGTTTCCACAAAAATCATCAATTTTTCTGTCATCTTATTAGCAATATCTCTATAAGAAAAACACAGATTTCGATCCTTTCTCTATTAAAAAAAAAAAAAAGAAGGAGTAATAGTTGTGAAAAATTCAAGGAAACTCTTTATTAAAATATTGGTGAGGAAGGTGGATACTAATAAGTATATTGAGACGAGAGAGATAATTAACTACAGCATTCTTATCCATTTTAACAATAATTAATAAATAGATTTTTTGCCAGCGAATTAATAAATAATTGGACCACCCAACATCAGCGTTTTGATATCAATAGTGCTTGATGTTTTCGCTCTTTACCTCTATTCATGCTCGTCTTTTTCTCCCACACATTTTTTCCCGCGGGGCCGCTCTCTATCTCTCCACACTCCACTGCACATAAAAGACAAATCACGTTGGGAGAGATATTCATTGATGTTATAAATGAAAAGGAAAGAAGTTCATTGCATTACTTATTTTCTTTTATTTATAATTATTTTCTTCCATTCATATAAATGTCACTTTAAATGGAGCATCACGCTCCTTTTGGTCCATGATATAATACATTGATTAAAAGAAAATTATGATCCAAAATATTAAAAAAAGACAATAAAATATTCTAAAAAAATGATAAATGATACTTTTAGTGTTGGTGAATTTTAAAATTTCAAATTAGACCTCTTGTACTATTTTAGAAATGACACAAATTCCCTTCACTATTCTTTTTCTTTTCTTTTTTTTCGTAGAGATTTGCCACCTCAGCACCCTTAGTCTGTTTCTAACAGCTAGGGTTTTGACACCTGCATACCCTTCAATGGCGGCTACCGGAGCTCAGGCAACATGTTGCGGACCTCCGACAACATCTTTTTCCTATGCATTAACTGCTCTTTTTTAACTATTTACTACATTTATTTCTAAAACTTGATGACTATTTTTGTTTAGCAATTGGATACTCTAGTATCACAATTGATTACTTTCATTTTAAAAAATTTGGTGACTACTTTTATTTAGTTATTAATTATTCTAGTTTTGTTATTAACTATTTTTATTTCAAAACTTCAAAAAATGCATTAAGTGTTGTTGGAGATCTAGTAACTATTTTTGTTTAGTTATTTACTATTCTTGTATAACCAATAGCTATACAAAAATAATTACTGCAATGATCTCATTTTACAACATTTTAAAATTCAAAAATAGTACAATGGATCTTATATAAAATTTTGAAATTCACCCACCCTGATGTGTCCTTTAGCATTTTTGAGAATATTTTATTGTCTTTCTCCCAAAATATAAGATATCATCAAGATAATTAATGTGATTTTTCACTTCCACTCCTATTAAATATAGGAGAGAGATGAGAAATAATAAAAGTATAATATTAAAGGTAACTTTATCATTTTTAGTGGGTAAAATAGGAAAAATCTATCATTTTAAAACAAATTTAATTATTAAACTTTTATTTCTTGATATGTGAGAAAAGTTAACCAACTTCTTATATTGTGAATCAGAGTACAAAACAAGAAGGTCATTAAATAATCAAAATTGATCTTTTTTTTATAAAAAAAGTCCTCTTTTTTTTGGAAAGAAAGATAATTTTATTTAAACTAAAGGGGTGTTTAGGTAGAAATAAAATTATAATTTTTAAAGTGCTTTTATGATATACGAAATAAATATATGAAGAAATTTTTTCTCGATTTGCAAAAAAATGTTTTTAGAAAGCACTTTTAGCCCAATCCAAATACCCCTTAAGTAAAACGGTTACACAAAATAGTAAATCCCCATTTTGTTTTAAAATGGCCCCTTATTTTAAGTTACTCTTTAAATCCATTGGGAAAAAAACGTTTAATTCATTGGGATGAATTGGTGAAAAATATCGGAGTTTTTTTGACAAATTAGATTATCTCACTAATTTTTAATTGTCTTTAATATGTATAAAAGTAGTAAAAAATGACATGCAGGATCAGAGTAGTTAAAGAAAAAGAACAAGGTCCTTAATGCATTTCAAGTACTGTAATTATTTGTTGGCGGGTCCATGTATGATTGGTGGTCAATCGTTAAAATGTTCTTAGTGAACTGACATAAAATAAAAATAAAGCAAATAGTTTTTAAACTAAAAAAAAATTGAATGTTAAAAATTATTGAACAACTAATGAATTGAGTTTGGTGGAAGAAGCTAGTCTTTCACAAAGTAACGAATCATGATTTGAATTTCTACCCATATTTAATACCTGACAGTATCTTGAATAAGAGAATACTACGCTTAGGGAAAAAAATGTTCAACAGTTTTCTTTCTCACTTATGATGTATAATATTCTCGACAACCTCAGCTTGTCTTCCGATTTGCTCAGCAGTGTGAATTGAAGAAAAGTTACTTTCAAAATAAAGAGAGAAATCTGATATTTTCACGTAAAAGCGATATTAATTAATTCATCGTGTGTTGGTTCTTTCACCTTTCCTCTAGTCCTGCGGAGAATTTGCCTTTGCAAAAAGAATGAAGATTAAAGTAGAAGAGAATGAGATGTCATCTCACAAAGGTGTTGAATAAAATTAATACAATAGACTTACCACAGAACTACCTTAAAATATTTATTATCTTAGGTGGGTTAATCATTCGGATGAATTCTGATCAAAACCTATTGAATTGGGTAAAGCACAAAGTCATCCAAACATATAATAAAACCTTAAGTTTGATTACCGAAAAAAAAAATTCCAACACCTTAAGGACAAAGGGAGAGAAGAGAAGCACAAAGATACATAAAAGCTAGTTCCCCTAATCTTAAATGTAAGAACCAGCCAGTAAGTTTATTTTGATTTTAAATATAAAATCTCATCCAAATTTATATAATTTTTCTCTGAACGTTTCTTGTTGATGGCACATATTATGAAGTTTTTGTTTCTAATAATATATATAGTTGAAAAATATATTAATTAAATTATAACAAGTTATATCAGTAAAATTATAAATTAGCTAGTGTTTTGCATGCTAATCTTCAAACTAGTTCTTTGTCCCCCCCCCCCCGGCCATGCTATTTCAAGTGATAAGAATAGCGTAAGATGCAGAAATAAATTAAGAATTCAAATCCTCTTAATGCAAAAAAAAAAAAAGGTCAATGCTTTGCTAATTAGGTGTTGATTTACATTTAAAGAGATCATGCAATGGTTAGTGAGGATATGAATGCTACGTGCCTATAAACTTTATTGACCCAATTCATAAATTCCCGGATATATGATGCTTCATATATTACGTATGCAAAAATTATAGAGATGTTGCCATTCAGGTCGTCGGTCAATAATCAACTTAAATTATAAAAACATACTTCCCTTTCGATCTTTATTTAGCCTGGTAAAACTTTTTTTTTTATTTAATGCATTTTGTCTGTGCTAAAAAGAAAACATATTTCCTCTAATCCTATTTGATTAATTTGGATCGATTATAAAAATTAAATAAATTAGGGAATTATAACAAATACGGATATGATTTTCTTAAAATACTTATATATACAATGTTAAATTATAAATCATTTTATAAGTTAAAATAAATTAGCTTAGAAAAAAATTAAGAAATAAAATAGGCTTATATGTTATATTTATGATTAAATTTTAACTTCTAATTATTTTTTATATTAGCATTATTCATCAAATAAACTCTTATTTAAAGAGAGGGGTAAGGGAGTGAGAAAATAAAATAGAATGGGTTGGAAATATATTTAAAATTAAAATAAAAATGACAGCGCGGCTAAGGGAGGGAGGATTTCGGCCCCAAATAAGGGTGGAAACAGGCCAGGCCAGGCCAGGCCAAGCTTTGCTCTTAACAGGCCAGGCTTGTTTTGGAGCCTATTGGCCTGAGCTTGGCCTATGGCCTGTTACAGGCTTACTTTTCAGCCTGAGCCTGGCCTAAAGCCTGTTAAAAGGCTTGTGTTTTTAAAAAATTCAAATTATAATAATTAATTTTTTAAAAAAAGCTAAGATAAAAAAAAACGTACATAATAATTTAATTTTTAGTCTTGTCTTTTATTTAAATTTTAGTATCATAAGTACTATTTTAAATCTTAATTATAATTTATAAGAATATTATTGAAAACTAATTGTAATTATATGTTAAAATTTGGAATAAGACTACGTTTAAGTACACACAAAAAATTAAAATTAAGACAAATAAATAAAGAGGCAAAAATACTAATTTTATAATGAATAAAGAGGGTATCATACTTAAATTAACATAATACGTAAGTTAGTTAATTTATCATTCTTGGAACAAAATTTTTCTTTCCTATTTTCTTTATATTTTTAAGATTTAAAATCACATTATTTATTGATATTATTATTTTAGATTATATTTTTATCTTCACTTGTCATCTAAACTTCAAAATCTAAGAAAAGATTAAGCTATTAACTATATATTAAAATTAAAAAATAAATTAAAAGAGCACATTAACAATAATAGCATTAATTAATTTTTTCATATATTATGATTATAAATTCCTGATAGGCCCAGGCCGGCTTAACAGGCTTAACAAGCTTTTTAAAAAGCCTAAACCTGGCATGTTTAACTAAATAGGCTTTCAAACAGGCCTGAGCCTGTCTTTTTTGGGAAACAGGCCCGGCCAGGCCAGGCCAAATGCAGGCCAAACCATAGGCCCCTGACAGGCCGCCTGACCTGTTTCCACTCCTAGCCCCAAGGAGGTGCAGCATGTGGACCGAGGAGAGTATTTATTATTTTTCTGATCCTGTTTATAAATCACTTTCAGCATGTTTTATATATACTAAAAAAAATCTTCAACCTCATTAACTCTCATTTAAAATTTAATAACTTTATAAATTTATTCTTATTTAATATATATTATATTTTATACTTTGTGTAAACAAAGTTAACGCAATAACAAATAAAAAGTAAAATTGTATATCTATACAAAAACTTTCTTTCAGCACCCTATAAATATAATCAAAAAATATCTTCTCTCCCTGTCTTATAAATAAGATCAGATAAGTAAGCATTAACATTGATTGACTGTAATTTTAAAATTTTATTTTTTTGATTGACATGTTCACTAATGGTTAGTGCTGGTTAAGTCAATGGTTGTGACATTTTTTTTAGTTAGGAACTTTTGTGTAATTTTGTACGTGAAAAATATTATAATGTTTGGTAGCGTAGAATAATACTTGGCATGTAAATTTACATCTTAAATAAAAAAACTAAATTGATTTTTATTATCATCACTTGGAAAAAAAATATTACTCGGATGAGCTAAAGCATAACTCATTTACTTTTCGATGGTATTTTATATATAAATACACTAGTATATATTAATTCAATTAACATGTTGCTTGCAAGCACATGGGTTGTGACTTGTAATCCCGAGGCACACCATCTTACGGCTCAAAAGATCACAGAGGATCATTATTGCTCCGTACTTGACTTCTACTGATCCAGTGGATTAAATGCCACCCAAAATTAGGATGACATATGCGAAAATGATATGGGTGACGTCACTCAAATCCATCAACTGCTAATGCTTCGACCAGTTTTATTTATGAGCTTTTAATTTGAACAAAGATGTGGTTTATTTTATATCTAACCATTTAATACATTTTTTTTAACAATTTTAATCTTAATTATTTTTTCTTTTTCTTTGTTATGTCCCATTGTTACATTTTCCCATATATTTTCTTTTATCTTAACTTATGTGTTTATAAATGCTTATGAACTCGATTTTAAACAAGTCCCAACTCCAACACGGTTAATGAATATGCAAGGCAAAATGAATAAAAACATTATATTTTGAACTAAGTCTAACATTTTATTTATTTTTATATTAAGAATTGGATTGAGTCTAAAATATTAATGCCTTCATATTAATATGAAAATGGATAAGGTACTTAAATATTTTGAAAGTATCGACGAAGGAATACTTAGAACTTGATTTTTTTTTGCTCTTATTTGCCTTAAAAATTTATTTTTGTAACAAAAATATCCTAATTATTATCCTCTATTAAATTTGACTGTTTAATTATATGGTTTGACTAGTATCTTTAACAGATAATATTTCAAGACAAAGATACTACGAAATGAAACTTCTAAACCACATAAAAGCCACAGAAACTTTTCAAATATTGGATGCTGATTCGTGAATATTGACATATTTAGGTACCATATGAAAAATACAAATACCAATTAGCCAGGCTCTTTTTATCATCTGGAATAGCCTAGACTCCTACCTTTTTTTTTTTTTTTTTTTTGACCAGCAGACTCCTACCTTTTCTTGACGTTAGGAAAAAATCAAAACGCATACTATTTTTATTTTCATACAAGTTTAAAATCTTGAGTTAAATTAGCCAAAAATTCCAAATGCTATTTATTTATTTCAATAAAAGAATTTATACCCTTGATATCTAATGACACTTTATCTTATTGTTATTGCTTTATTACGGTCCAAATGACAAACTGAAATCTTCTTTATTTAAGTATTTTTTGCATTCTTTTCCTCCAGACACAAGTCAAATTACTTTTTGTACCTGTTTCATAAACTTGATTCTGGGAGAATGTTATTAGTTATTGATTTATCGAACGTCATTTTTAAACCAGGAATTTTATTTTTCTTTTCTTATTACAAAAATTTAATTTCGTTATTTAAATATAAATATGAAAAAAATTTAACTTCATTACACATGGTTTCCCTTTTTTAAAATGTCAGACATAATTTGTTCAATCAAATTAAACATTACATTTCATTGCAAGCATGTTCTCTTTTTTTTTCTTTTCCTTTCCTCCGTGCTTCTGCATATTTCTCTTCCTTCCAACCCCCCCCCCCCAAAAAAACAAATTTTCATCTGCCTAATCCCAAGCAAATTAAACTTTCTCTTTAATAATACTGATGTGAAGTGTCTGGCTCTCCCACTAAGAAATATTTTAGTATTCATTACCTCTACCAAGATGGATCTATATAATAACAAGGAACCATATGGTGTCGTCTTCAGAATTCTCCACGCAGTTAAAGATCCTCTCTCTCTCTCTCTCTCTCTCTCTATACAGAGTTAAGGAAATTGCTCCCTGCAACTCAGATTTCAGACTGCTCATCCAACACAACAGACTATTTTCTGAGAAGAGACTACTTCCAGGTTCACAATCTCTCTCTCTCTCTCTCTCTCTCACACACACACACACACACGCAGAGTTTTTTGAGAAAAGGAAGCTTTGTTTTACTGGGTTCGGTGTTGAATAGACATAAGCTCTGTATTTTCTTGCTTTCTTCTTCTTCCTGTGAATGATCCATATTTCCATTTCTTTAATTACTGCTGGCACTGGAAAGTGGAAGCCATTATTCTCAATATCTCTGTTAATTCAACTGCTTAAACGGCACTATCTTTTTTTTTTTTTTTTCCTTTTGCCCAAACGCTTAAATGATACTATCATCTCACAGGGTTTTGATTCCCTCATTTTGTGTTAATAAGTTTTTATTTTACCCCAACAATATTATCTTATTATGTAAAGTTGGCTACACGCGTCATACAGTTTCATTATCTTATATTAATCCGTTTGATAATTTTATTGAATATTATCTATCTTTATGTTTTTCCGAAGAATTTTGTACTGTCCTAATGCTTCTCATAACTTTCTATGCGTGTATCTGAACGACATCAAAATGACTTAACATACACCACGCATCAGTGTAAACTTTTTCTTTTCGTATATGTTCATTGCACATTTTTTTCCAACATCTTCGATACCGAAGAAGAGAATTTTAAACAATCCAAGTTATTTCAAAAGGAAATAAATAATCTTTTATCAAATAAAAAAGTACATTAATAAGTGAGAGCATTTCAGCTCTATCTCTTAGGCAAAAAGGAGTCAAAGAGGGAGGGAGGGAAGACTTGGAAGAAACATCTAGGAGGTTTCATACTTTTGTGCGTGTGTGTGTTATATATATATATATATAAATATAAGTTTACTAAAAACTAAAAAGAGTAGATCCATATGAGATCTGGTCAAAAAAAAAAAAATCCATACGAGATCTGAGATGATCCAAACACGACAAAATTGTAATGGTACCCAATTGTCCAAGGACACAGATTTCGAAGAAGTCTAGACAGCCGTAGCGAGAAATCAAATAGTAATGGACGAACGTTTTTCCCCCACAAGTAGGACCAGCCATGTGTAAAGTGGGTAGATAATAAAAGGCAGAATTGCAATTAGGTCCTACTTAGGGGAATTAAATGCAAAAAGGTCTCTTAAAATCATGAAATTATTCTGAAGTCCTAAGGAACCTTTTTGCAATAAATTTTATTTGTTTAATTACCAAATTACCCTTCTTCTTTTTTATAACTTTGTATTAACAACTGAAAGAGCAGTAGTTGACAACTCAGGGTACAAGGATTAACAACTATCGCGGCTGGTTTGACAACTTATGGTGTGATATGCTGAGAAAATGTGTTATCAAACCAGCCGTGATAGTTGTCAATCCTTGCACCCTGAGTTGTCAACCACTGCTCTTTCAATTGTCAATGCAAACTTAACAAAAAAAAAAAGAAGAAGGGTAATTTAGTAAGTAAACAAATAAAATTTAATGCAAAAAAAATTTTGGAACTTTAAAATAATTTCATGATTTTAAGGGATTTTTTTGCATCTAATTCCCTTGAGTGGAACCTAATTGTCATTTTCCCATAATAAAATGACGCTCTTGCGTCTTGTTTCTTTCTTTCTTTTTTTTTTTTTTTAAATCACTATGCGGCTTTATTAAAAGTATATATATAAAGCTTCATAATAAGTGAATAATAATTTCAACTCGTTTGTTATTAAGATTTTTTTAAGTGATCATTATATCTTATCTTCATAGTATTTTTCTTTAATAATAAGTGCGTCTCTCATTCAGACCATTAATGTAATAATTGAGTAGTAAACTATAACATGTAGGTAGGACCATTATAAGTCGTTGAGTCTGATCTTGTTTGATCAATTCGATTTTTTTAAAGAAGTATAAATGATAACAATTAAATTTAATTATATTGTTTTAAGGAAACTAAAGATTTATAGATAAAAAGGATTATACAAAAAATCACTTAAGATTTCTACAAAACCGCCCGCCATCTCCATCTATCACCTCCTTTAGCAAATTAAAGGTAGTTTTAATTATACCATAAGCCTTTTTAAACATTAGGCACTAATCATATTTCATGTTATTATTATCGTCACATGAGTTAATTTTAAATAACTCAAGAATTCTGAGAAGTCGAAGAATTTCTCTTATTAAATTTTTAGCTCCGAACAAGATCAAGATGGGATAAATTGATTCGTAAATTAATGTCATTAACATGATAACCGACTTAGTACTGACTCACAACGCACCATACAAGAGGGCCATGTCATATCTATCCGTATCATATGTTTTACTAATTTTTTTACAATATATTTTTTCTGCTATAAAGGATGTTTGGAATCACTTTTTGAGCGTCAAAATGTGATTTTGGCAAAAAGCAAGGTGAAACTCAGATATCGGACTTAAAACTAATCCCAACCAAACAATGAGCTTTTAAAGTTCAATCACATTTTGACAAGATGTGATTCCAAATATGTTTTCTTTAGCCAAACACTTCTGCTAGTTAATTTTTATTATAAGAGTTAGTTAATGAGCTTACACAAGACTCAATTTACTTTGGATTTTGCTTTAATAGGAATCATTTTCTCACTTTTCATTGTCATTTTAATTACAGGTTGGGATTCGATGGCATCTAGTGACCACACAAACGTTTGTGGCTCACCAAATCCTGCATATAAGCTAGTCAAAGACATTGTGATCGATATAAAAAACGAACCAGAAGATCACAACACAACCAAGTATAACATCTACAGAGTTCCAGGCAATCTTCGGAATGTGAATAAAGATGCCTACACTCCTCAATTGGTCTCAATAGGACCCCTTCACTATGGCCAAAAAAAGCTAAATCCAATGCAAACGCAGAAATTACGATACCTTAATCTCTTCTGGGATCGTCTCAAGAACAATAGTGCTGAAGCTAAAATGGAAAAATTCAAGAAGTTCCTTGAAGAAAAAGAAGAAGCCATACAGCTACGTTATGCAGAAAAACTCAGGGACAATATCAGGAAGAAGTTGGTGGAGATGATGTTATTAGATTCTGTGTTCATCATGGAGCTGTTGCTGAGGATTCAAAAGCAAAAATCACCAGAAGAAGACAGAACATATTCAGATGATATTATACTGAAACAATCATGGCTGAAGAAGAGTATCCAGAGAGATTTCCTTCTGCTTGAAAACCAGATCCCCTTGTTCATCTTGGTGGAGCTGTACGATAATGTTGTTCCTGAGACTGATAAAATGCGTCCCACGTTTATTGAACTTGCCCATGACTACTTCGAATGTTTTCATACTTATAAAAAAGGCGACTCTTCTTCTACTGGAGAAAGTGGTGGAAGCTCAGATTTCAATTGCAAGCCCTCAAAAAATTGCAATATTAATTCAGTTTCCGGTTTTCAAAAGAAGTCGTCTTCATCAAGGTTTAAAAAGTTGCGGGAGAACTGGGAAAATGATCCACAGCATTTCACTGATCTGATTAGGTACGCATTTTTCAATTACTACTGTTTTCAGTGACTAATTAATTACTGCTTGTTAGTTATAGTGTTGCATTAATTTCACATTATCATATTCATGATTAATTAGATTCCTATCATTATTTATTACTCTCTTTGGTATTATATACTCCCTCCGTTCCTTATTATAAGAGACATTTAGTGCTTATGGCATGTTTCTATATATAAGAGACACTTAAAAGTTGTCTCTACTTTTTTGTGTTGATTTCCTATTTTACCCATATTTATTGTCTCCAACTCACTCTCTCTCCTTCCATTTCTCTTTCTTTTAATAAATTACCATTGTTCTCTCTCCTTATTAATGAGGGTATTGTTGGAAAAAAAATTATACTTTTTTACATATTAATTGTTTTTAACTAATTTTAACTATTTTTTTGATCAGCGTAATTCGGTTATTCATCTCTTATAATAAGGAACGGAGGGAGTATAAACTTCAAATTTAGAAAGGAGCGTGGTCTATTTTATAAACTTCAATTTGGATTTGTCTTAATGTTTAATGTACTTTTCTGATCCTATTTATAAGGCACTTCCAACATGTTTCACACAAACCAAGAAAAACCTTAAACTGCATTAACTTTTCATTAAAATGTAGCAACTTTTCAATTTACCTCTATTTAATATATACACCTTTCAAAAAACAACTATCTATATTATAAAAAATAAAGGACAATATTTGCATTCATGGTAATTTAATAAGGTGACTTATAAATAGGACTAAGAAAAACCTTCTTTCTCTGCCATGGACCAGAGGAGCTTTTTTTTTTTTTTAACTTTATCCTTAATTATTTATTCTCTCTCATTTGTCATACCCTTTTTTATTACGTTTCCCCACATTTTTTTATCTTTTTGCTCATTTATTATAAGGACGTATTTGAAAACAAAATTATATTTTTAACCTATTTATTTCTTTTAACTAGCTTTAACTAATTGTTCATTATTCATGAATTAATTATTTGAAGATTATAATAAGGACCGGAAGGAGTATATAATAATTTCTCTGATTGTTTAATATTTATCACTAGTTATCTGAAGCATATAATAAAGACAAGAGAGAGTATATAGTAATTTATCTGATTGTTTAATATTTATAACTAGGATTAATATAACCTTTGGTGTCTCAAATTTGTTTTTATTTTAGTTTTAGTCTTTTAGGTTTCAAACCATATATTTTAGTCTGGTCTAAGTTTTTATTGAATTATAAGGATCGATATTTTAAATAAAAAAATTTAAGAGACCAAAACCTATAATTTGAAACTTGAGGGACCAAAACAAAAATTAAGACAAACTTAAGTGACCAAAAATCATATTAACCTTAACTAACTAAATCTGAGTCTTTATAATATAAAACGGGTTGCATAATAAACTAATTTAACAATTTCTTTTATCTTTTAAAATTAGTTATTTATCTTCTGTACTAGGGAGCCGGAACGAGCGTAGGTGCTCACAAGCTAACATGTATTTGTGTGGATTTGATCTGATTATAGGTCTTTCTACATTTTTAAGAGTCTTCATCCTGACGAAAAAGGGTCTCAATTAACGACTGCAACAAAGTTGCGAGAAGCAGGAGTGAGCTTTGAGAAAGTCATCAACAGGCCCTTACTTGACATAAATTTCCAGAAAATTCGACCCTTAAGCTGGTTTCTGTGCTTGGGTTGTATTCCAAAGTTCACTCACTTCAAAGCTCGTTTACAAATCCCAGAATTAAAAATACAAGACTCAACTGAATGTGTTCTGAGGAATCTCATCGCCTTCGAGCAGTGTCATTACCCAGATCAACCTTACATCTGCAACTACGTCGCTTTCATTGATTCTCTCATTCACACCAAAGACGATGTGGAGTTGTTGGTTGAGAAGGAAGTCATTGTCCATGAACTTGGAAGCGACAAGGAAGTTGCAACATTGGTGAATAGTCTCTGCAAACATGTTGTCACAGACAAGACATGTTATAGAGGACTTATAGATAGTCTGAACAAACATTACCAGAGACAATGGAATCGTTCTATGGCTGCATTGAGGTTAGTTTACTTTAGAGATGCTTGGAGAGCAAGCTCTACTTTGGTCGCAACGGCTGTCCTCGTATTCACAATCTTCAACTTCTGTCGAGTTGTTAGATTGGTCCTCGACCTTGAAGCAGGTGGCCGGCAACCTTAATTAGTTATATAATGTAGCATATAGTATCTATAATTTGAATTATAATTAGGAAACTAATTAATGGGTGTGTTTTGTGATAAAACAACGTGAAATGATCTTCCCCTTGGGTCAAGTTTGGTTGCAAAGTCGTCTTCTTGCTCGTGTTTTGTTCAGTGTTTGGCGAATCTTAGTAATGCGTGTATTATTTGTGGATGTGTTGTAAGACTTAGCCATCATCTATCTGTGTAATTTATAAATAAAGCATTCATGGTGCCACTTTATTTCTAGGAAATTGTTCTCAATGAACTGACATAAGATAAAAATAAAGCAAATAGTTTTTAAACCTAAAATTTTTTTTTTTGAATGTTAAAAATTATACAACAATCAATGAATTAGGTTTTTTGGAAGAGGCTAGTCTTTTACCCATATTTAGTATCTGACAATACGTTGAACAGCATGTTTGAATTTCTATTATCCATATTTAATACCTGACAATGTGTCGAATGGGAGGATACTACGCTTAGCCAAAAAGTGTTCAACAGTTTTTTTTCCCTCACTTTATGATGTATAATATTGTTGACAACCTCAACCTGTCTTCTGATTTCCTCAGAAAGTGTGAATTGAAGAAAAGTTACTTTCAAAATAAAGAGAGAAATCTGATATGTTCACATAAAAGTGATATTAATTAACTCATCATGTGTTGATTCTTTCACCTTTCCACTGGTCTTGCGGAGAATTTGCCTTTGCAAAAAGAATGAAGATTAAAGTAGAAGAGAATGAGATGTCGTCTCACAAAGGTGTTGAATAAAACTAATAGAATAGACTTACCATAGAATTACCTTAAAATCTTTATTATCATAGGTGGGTTAATCATTCGGATGAATTCTGACCAAAACCTATTGAACTGGGTAAAGCACAAAGTCATCCAAACATATAATAAAACCTTAAGTTTGGTTACAAAAAAAAAAAAAATTCCAACACCTTAAGGACAAAGGGAGAGAAGAGAAGCACAAAGATATATAAAAACTACTTCCCCTAATCTTAAATGTAAGAAGTAGCTGGTAAGTTTATTTTTTTGATTTTAAATATAAAATCTCATCCAAATTTATATAATTTTTCTCCAAACTTTTTTTTATTGATGGTACATATTATGAGGTTTTTGTTTTTAATAATATATATAGCCGAAAAATATGTTAATTAAATTATAACAAGTTACGCGTATATCAGTAAATTATAAATTAGCTAGTGTTTTGCATGCTAATCACTTCAAGCTAGTTCTTTTTTTTTTTCCCCGTTTTGTTTTGGCCGTCTCACTTCAGGCTAATTCAAGTGATAAGAATAGGGTAAGATGTAGATATAAATGAAGAATTGAAATCCTCTTAATAAAAAAAAAAAATTCAATGCTTTGCTAATTAGTTGTGGATTTACATTTAAAGAGATAATGAAATGGTTGGTGAGGATATGAATGCTACGTACCTATAAACTTTATTGACCCAATTCATAAATTCCCAGAAGTATGATATTTGACATATAACGTATGCGAAAATTATAGAGATGTGGTCATTCACGTCCTCGGTCAATAATCAACTTCAATTATAAAAACATACTTCCCTTTCGATCTTTATTCAGCCTGGTAAAACTTTCTTTTCGTTTAATGCATTTTGTCTTTGGTAAAAAGAAAACATATTTCCTCTAATCCTATTTGATTAATTAGAATAGATTAAAAAAATTAAATAAATTAGTAAATTATAACAAAATGGGATACGATCTCCTTAAAATATTCATATATGCAACGTTAAATTATATATTAGTTTATAAGTTAAAATAAATTAGTTTAAAAATATAAATATAAGAGATAAAGCATGTATATTTATGACCAAAATTTAACTCCTACTTTTTATATTAAGTACCAAATATAGCATTATTCATCAAATATATTTTTATTTAAAGAGGTGGGTAAGTGTTGACCCAAAAAAAAACAGAGAGGGCTAAGTGAGTGGGAAAATAAGATAGAATTGGTTGGAAAAACAAATCAGTAAAATAAGAAAAATGACGGTGGGTGAAGCAGCTGAGGGAGGAGACTATTTGTTAATCTGTGGATGACTCAAAAACCATGACATTTTTACATCATTTTAAAATCTTATGTGTATTTTTGCACTTTTTTTTATTGACACGTCTGCTAATGGTTAATATTGATTAATGGTTGTGATTTTTTTTTCAGTTGATAATTTTTATGTGTATATTTTACTTGAAACACCATTATGATATTTGGTAGTGTAGAATAATACTTTGCACGTAAATTTGTACCTGAAATCAAATTTATACCACATACCTACCTAATAATAGCACAAACTTTTATGATAACTGACATGAACCTAAATTGATTTTAATTAAAACCACTTGAATATGACAAATCACTCGGATGAACACTCATTCATGTTTTGATAGTACTACACTGCCTTTTGGTCTTATTTATAAACGAAATATTATAAATAAAATTGAAGGTAGTATTAAAATTATTGTATAAAAAAAAATACTCATCTAGTTCTATTTATAAAACATTTTCAACATATATCATATAGAATAAGAAAAACCTTAAAATAGATTAACTCTCCATTAAAATATAACAATTTTTTAAATTTATCCCTATTTAATATATATATATATATATATATATCCTTCAAAAAAGATAACTATTTATATCATAATAAATCAAAAATAAAATAATACATTTACATTAAAATTTTAATAAAATAACTTGTAAATAGGATCTAAAAAATTTTTTCCTCTATTTTATAAATAAGACAAAACGAGCATATATTTTTAATTCAATTTTTTTGGAAAAATTGCAAATAAAGATCTCAAAATATGTAAAATTATGATTTGAGACTCTCAATGTGAAAAATAGCAAATAAGGCCTGGTCTGAAATTACAAATATAAAATCTTAGTGAAATATCTAAAATGCCCCTCGGTTAAATTGTGATTTGGTTCATTGAAGTTGTTATTCGCTAAAGTGAACTTGTCATTTTTCACAGTCAACTTGTCATTTGACATACCCTCAATTAAGTTGTGATTTGGTCTATTAAAACCGTCATTCGTTAAAATGAACTTGTTATTTCTCATAATTAACTTGTCATTTAGTTAAGGGGCATTTTAGACATTTCACCAAGATTTCATATTTGTAATTTGGGACCAATTTCTCTGAAACTATTTTCCAAATTAGGAGTTCTAAATTATAATTTTTTATATTTAGAGGTCTTTATTTGCAATTTTCTCTTTTTTTTCCAACAATATTTTTAATTCAATTAATATATTGGTTAAACGAACATGGGTTATAACGCGGAATCGCGAGGCACACCGCACACCATCTTACGGCTCAAGAGGTGACAGAGGATCATTAGTGTTACGTACCTAACTTTCTCCTGATCCGGTGGATTCAATGCCACGCAGAATTAGGATAAGTGGATAACACATGAGAAAATGATATGGGTGACGTCACTCAAATTCATCAACTACGAATGCTTCCAATACTGTTTATAAAGTTCAAGTATATGGTTTATTTTATAAGTTTTGATTTGAGATTTCTCTAAATATTTAATATATTTTTTTAATAATTTTGTTTTTAATTATTTATTCTCTTTTTTTGCTATACCTTCTTGTTACGTTTTCCTATATATTCTTTTTTCATTCTTTTTTTATTTATTATAAAGGTATATTTAAAAATAAAATTATATTTTTAACTTATTTATTATTTTTAATTAACTTGAAATTATTATTCATTGTTGTCTATAAATTAGTTATTTGAATAATAAGCACCACATGGAGTATAAAATATGGATAGAGTAAACTACCAATGTTTTGAAACGTTTTGGAATGATTTATAAATAGCCTTTCAATCAGTTTACAAAATCCGAGATAAATAAGTAAGATAAATTTTATCTTGACTTAAGTGCTTATAAGTGTTTATGAATATGGTTCCAAACAAGTCCCAATTCTAACATGGTTGATGAATATGCAAAGCAAAATGGATAAAAACATGATATTTAAAGCTAAGTCCAACATATTAATATGAAAAGGGAGAATGCGTTTAAATATTCTGAAAGTATTTATGAAGGAGCATTTATGACCTGAATTTTTTTTCTTTTTTGCTTTTATATGCCATTTTCATATTAAAAATATTCTAACCGTTATTCGCCATTAAGTTTAACCATTCAATTATACAGTTTGACCGATGTCTTTAACGGTCAAACTTAACGGCGAGCAAGGGTTCAGGATAGAAATGCTTCAAAATAAAACTTCCAAGACATATAAGGGTGTAAAAAAAATTTCAAATACTGGGTGTTGCTTTATAAACATTTCTGGGATATTTAATCACCTCACCCCATATGAGAAATACAAACACTAATTAGGCAGGCTCTTTTTTATCATTTGGAATATTGAAATTAGGGGGAAAATCAAACGCATGCCATTTTTATTTGCATACAAGTTTAAAATCTTGAGTTAAATTAGCTAAAAATTCCAAATGCTATTTCTTTATTTCAATAAAAGAATTTATACCCTTGATATCTAATCACATTTTATTTTATTGTTATTGCTTCATCAAGCTCCAAATGACAAACTGAAATTTTGATATCTATTTTTATTTCTTTGGCACCAGTACTTGAATTCTGATTCGCAAAAATGTTAATAGTGATTAATTTATGGAACATTATTTTTAAACCAGGAATTTCATTTTTCTTTTCTTATTACAAAAATTTCATTTCGTTATTTAAATATAAATATAAAAAAATTTAACTTCATTATACAGGGTTTCCCGCCCTTTTTTTTTTTTTTAACATGTCAAACATAATTTACTGAATGAAATTAAACATTGCATTTCATTTCAAGCATGTTCTCTTTTATTTACTGTTCTTTTGCTCCGCCTAATCCCGAGCAAATTAAACTCTCTCCAGGAACTGTATGGCGTCGTCGTCAGAATTCTCCACGCAACACATTAAAGATCCTCTCTCTCTCTCTACAGAGCTAAGGAAATTATTCCCTGCAACTCAGATTTCAGACGGCTCATCCAACCCAACAGGCCATTTTGTGAGGAGAAACTACTTCCAGGTTCACAATCTCTCTCTCTCCCCCCCCTCTCTCTCTTCCAGGTTCAAAATCAGGTTTGGTGTTGAATAGACACAAGCTCTGTATTTTCTTGCTTTCTTCTTCTTCTGCTGCTGCTTCCTCTTCTTGTTAATGATCCATATTTCTATCTCTTTAAATATTACTGCTGGCACTGTAAAGTGGAAACT